GGGGGGGGGGGGGGGCACTGTCATATATGTGCTACATAGGTATGTGCTGCTATGAAGGGTATGGTTTTCAAGCAGTTTACTTTGGGATAGGGTATATAAATCAGAGCATTTGGGTCTAGTATAGGGTATCATTTTTCGCGAAACTGACCAGTTGGTTGAAGATTTCATTTAGACTAAGGAAACCAGGAATTGCCACTCAAAAATATAAAAAAGTGAAATCAGTTAGTTTAAATTTACGCAAATAAGCCTCCACAGTGTCGATAGATGGAGGGATTTGGGGAGTTTACTCTAGTATAGGGTAGCAGAATTCAGCTGAACTAGCTCTGGTTTAGGCTAAGGGTTCCAGGGTCCCAGCGGCACATCCCTACCCAGAAATTCCCAAAGTACCCCGCCCCCCCGCCCGGGTCAAAATGGCGGTTCCGGACGATCGAATCAGGGTAAGATGGTACAGTTTACAATCCTGTTTACGGCCCACTTTTAGTATAAACCCCAACTCTAATGGAATTTGACAATACCTAAATTTTCAAGGGATTCGAGCAGCTGAAGTTTAGCCCTCTACACAGATGTGGATATTGAAATGGACGATATGCATACTTCGTTGTTTAATCAACTTTAATAGGTCGGGGAAATGGACTGATCTGAATGAGCGGACCAGCTACTCTTTCTTGACGTACTTACTTCTTTGAGCTTGTTGTGATTCCCCGTCACAAATGCTAACGTATTTCTCGACATTTTGTTCTGATCTCCCTTCGCGATCTTCTTTCACTCTCCCACAGTCACTAAATTGCGGGCGCGAAACTGAAACAATTAAACTCGTCGCCAGGCCTTTTCGAGCGTGACAATGGAAACGAGACAAATGACTTCTTTGTTACGTGCTAAAACGTTCGTACTTTCCAGGTTTATTTGCTTTTCGATCGGCGCTGCAAAGCGTTACTGCTGACCGCGCAGGGGTACGGGATAAGTCACTACCAAAACTATAGTAAAAAAAAAACATCACCCCGGCAAAACATGAACCACGCTTGGCCTAAGGCCGCGCAGTTGATAATCGTTTATACCTTCGTTTGTCTGTGATAATGGTCGGTTTGTGGGAAAGAAACAACGTTATACATTTTAATGATGCCTTTTACGATTCACATAGAAATAAAGAGTTTTTGCCGCGGAATTGGATGAAATTAGAGTACCTGGCTGTTGACTGGAAACAGATACTTAAATAAGATAAAAATAAATTACAATATTCCGCGTGTTTTCTAGATTGTGCCAATACCCGTATGATAAAACGGATAATAAGCTCCTACTACAGGCATAGACATGCTGCTCTTTGATTGCTGGGTGTAGAGTTTAACGAGTCTAGCTCGAGTATAGGCTGCAGAGAAGATAAATGTTCCATCCTTTTGATAATTCATTTAAAACAGTTAACCGCTGAGGCTTTGGAAGCTGATGTGTCGAGCGATAGCCCTTCGTGAAAGTAAGGGCCCGGGGAGCAACTCCCATATGAAAAGGTCTAGGATGATTGTCGTCTCGCTTAGGGATAGAAATCAAGTATTCTGGTCTCACTTAGGGTGTTGATGACGAAACGCCGCTATTTTTAGCTGTCAAAGTATCTTTTAGGGTGCACTCGAAGAAATACTATTAATTAATTAAAACGCTCTTCTTTCAGTTTCTGGGCTCGTTTTCTGCCATTCTCTCAAGTCCGGTCTACTAGCGCGGGCTCCTTTCCTGAACAGCGGCTGGTAATCGAGCCTATAGAGGTCAAATATAGCTCACGCCCGGATTTGTGTCCTTTAGGGGTTTAATTCAAATTTTCCGACGAGCATCCTTCTTCCTTTTCATATGGGAGTCGCCCCACCGAGATTAAAGGGTTGGTATCTCTCTGCGCAGCGCTAAAGATCTCCCTCCATTTGTGCGCTAGTTTTGACACAGTCCTAAAGTAACCAACACGCAGAACCACAGTATTGTAGAAGCCACCGAAGTAGACGATCTACTGCAAGGATCATCCAGATGTGTGTTGCACAAGTCGCTGTCGCAACACAATTTGCAGTGAGTAGTTTTCTGGTATCGGCCAAGTGTCCACTTCCTGGAGGGTTTGTTGCAATCCCTGTCACAGCCTCTCACAACTTGTGCTGTTGTTCCATTAGGGAAGACCCTCCTATAGAGCGAGCACTGGTTGAACCAACGGGAGCACGTTCGTTGCCTTGTTCCCTGCAAAGTGTCCGTACCACAAGGCCCTTCCCTGGTGTCACAAAAGTGACACTTGATAAGACCTACGAGAGAGTGAATTTGAAAGGTTAACTGGTGGTCCATTCAGTCTTTTGTCGACTGTTTATCCTTATTAAGAGGATCAGAGAGGCCTGATGGCTTAATGGGACAAGAGCTTGCATGAGATTTCAGGTTTCTGTTGTTTGCCCGCCTCAAATGACATGCTGTTCCATCTGATTGCTGATAATCCAAGTATTTGTTGGTTGCCCTGGCAGTTCTTTGATAGCCTTTCACGGAGGCACTGTAACAATACAGTATCCTCCCTCAAGAACACATGCAACAACCAGTCAACCCGATCAGCTCTCTCGAAAGAGATCGTTGCAACCGCGCCGTGACTCTCAGTTGAATTTGAACATTGAACAATGATGACATCCCAAGAATTAAAATACAAAATTTGTTGCGCGTATGTTGCCGCCATGGAGTGAGTCATTGGGCGGTGGAGCGTGACCCAGATATTAATTAGGGAGCTTTAGATTGAACTACGAGAATGAGATTGAGTACGAGTACGATTTTCGAATTTCGAATTTCGAACCAGTGACATTTCCCAAGCCCCTGCCCTTCATGTTGGTTTTAGGTAGAGGGCAGCTCAATGGGTGGGATGGGTATGTGACTTGATAATGTGGAGACTGCAAACTAGAATTGAAGAGTCGTACTCGTACACGATGCCAAATAATTTTGTACGTCGGATCATTCTGAGTTCTAAAATAGATTTACCTTCTATTACAAGCACATCCGCAAACAGCATGATGAACAATAAGACGCCGGGAAAATTTGAGCAAAGCATTTGTAGAAAAAAAAACCAAGATGTGTCTATAGTCTTCTTCTCGCCTTACAAGGAGCAACTGACATTGCACAGCGTTACCCCATGTACGTTCTCTACGGCACCTGAAGTAATTAATACAATGAAGGAGTTATCATTAAATACGTTAAATATCATCTAAGCGCTGCTGTAATGGCAAGCTAGATTCTTTTGAACTCGTGGGTACGCTCCTTTCTCCCTCTCCTCCCCACCCAAAAAAGAAGAAGAAGCAACGGAAAATTCCCGCCGCCATCCATAACACAGTGCAAAAAAATAAACCAATTGTTATTTATATAAGACCCCTGAAACAATAGGTGGTTCAGTTTATTCTATTTTGCCATGTAAAATTATAAATTTACTTTCAGAAACTCAAAATCGCATTTGGGTAAAATAAAAAATGTTTAATACTTGTAAAATTCACAGAAAACCATGGCTCACCATGTACTAGCTTGTGAAACTACCGCTGGGTTAATTTATAAAGTAAAATGCATTTGCCCTGCATTTTGTAAACACTTTTGTATTTAACAAAATTCTGAAAAGAAATGGCCATGTATCCACAGTGAATCGTCCTGATCCCGCAGACACTGACTGGTAAAATTTATCCTCATCTTAAAAATGAAACTGAGTTAATATTTCGCAACAAAATCAACTGCATGACAGTAAACAGAATTTCGGTTCTGAATTTGAATATGCAAATGGTGGCTAAAAGCACACCAGATGATAGCCAACAGTAAACAAGGGAAGAAGACGAGAAAGCGGGAAAAAACTGAATAATAATATGTAGTAAAAACAAGGGAAAGCAAAAGTTACATCTTTTGTTCTTGTTTTGTTCTTGCTTTTTGGACAGATTGAGTAAGCTCGAAACGTAAACTGAAACATGATTTTCTTGAGAAAGCACCTGTCCTTACACCGTGGCATTATTAGTTACAGTGCGGCGCTAAACTCGCTTGCGACTATTAAATACTCACTGATGCTCTTTGAAATGTCGTTGTGGGTTAAACTTTTCTTGCGGTTTCAAGTCAGACAGCAAAGCTGAAAAGAACGCCCTAGAGCTAAGGAGCCATATTATGATGCTGGCGCTAGCGTTGAGTGGTTGCTGCGTTATTTAGAGACTGAGCAATCTGTGACGTCATGATTTACGCTGGTTGAATGATAATTGAGCTGGACCAACAGGCTTGCACCTTGATGTGGTCAGACTGACTTTTGCTGTTATAGCATAACTTGTGCGGGGAATTACCGACGCATTTGTCTAGTTAACAAAATTCAATCATCTTTTTCAGATTCCTGAGGTTATGCATAGCTAATAAATAAACGTGAAGAAAAGCCCGGGGTTTTTTAACGTTGCTTCGGTAAGAATTTTCGTCTGGCCGCTGCACGGCCACGTCCGCGTTGCACAAACTGAATGCACAATAAGATTCTCCAGTGAAGGAGACTAGTAGGAGATAGTTAGTCATATCTTGTATGTCCACCCCTCCCCTCCCTCCAGCAACGGCAACAACAAAAATAACAGAGCTGTTATGCATCCAGAATTAACTTCTCGAAAGAGTAATCTCCCGGCTAGCGTATCAGATTAACGATGTCTTTATTATAATCGCTGTAATATAATATTTATAGCTAGCATAGAAAAATAGATGAGAGTACTTTGCAGATCATTATGACAACATGGTTTGATTACGTCTAAACGAACAGTTTAGCGAAAATGAGGGCATTGAGTGTGAAACAAAGGAGTTGCACCATTGGTAGGCAGCAACATAGCGACACCTGACACTCTCAGTTTTCTCGGCTTAACTTCTTACTTTACTTTGTGTCTTTAAGTTCAGTGCAATGGGTTCTTTTCTTCTTACAGTTTGTGACTCATTTCCCACCCGTGACAGTGTAATGACTCAACCGGGAGTGAGTTGATGCAGTCATATTAACGGTCCATGTAATGCATTTTGAAGATGGATTTAACTTATGCTGTGTCAGTGATTGCTATGATACCGCGACTGTGATTAGACCGCATACACAAAACATTCCACACGTAATACCGTGCTAATGCCATGTAGTATTCAATAACAACTTTTGATTTACAAGACGTAGCGTGAAACTACAGCAAGAACACCAAGAAGTGCAATGGTAAAAGTCTCGTATCCCAGGCGTCCCGCCATGGATGGATTACACGGGTCCATGGTGTAGTTGTTACAAAGGTCCTGGTCGGAACAGCAGAGGACGCAGTGTTTCGTGATACCATCTGGGCCTTTTGTCGTGAATGTGGTGTTGAATTTCAAGCACTCCGAGGCGCAGTATCGGACGTATTGATGATTAGATGTATTACCATCAGGTGACGGTGGTTCCGTCTTGGCAACCGCGCAGACAGTCTCGCCGCTTTCGCAACTTCTTGTGCCGACTCCATCTAGTGATTCTGGAATGCAAAAGCTGTCATCTCTTGAGTTGCAGTAATAGCAAGTCGCAGCACCTGAAACGAAACAAATTGACATTTTCCACAACCCTTTATTCTTTGACCATTTAGTATAGTCCGTCATGAAACGATCCAAGTTCGACCGCTCCCGTAAATGGTCTTTATGCCAGTAGACAGACAGATCAGCTCGATAAAAGGAATGTGCGTGCCCGCTCATGGAGATTTGCCCACCGAACAGAAATTGACTGGTACCATTAAGTAGTTGATAAAAACATGTGCGTTGATTCTGAACTAGAAATTTGGCTGAGTTGACTTGTTCGTCCTTGTAGAACAGTCTTCATTGCGTTCATGTTTGGATGTGACTCCATACCGTATAACCGCTTTCCCTGAGCTCTAGTGACTGTTAGATTATTCTTGAATTGGTCACAAGAAAAGAGCCATCCTAGTGAACCATGCAATTCGCTGAATGCGAAAAAGAGTCACACTGATCACTAAGCTTGTTTGACTTGTTTGCCTGAAATTGCTAACGTAGCTACTGGACAATGTCGATCAAAGTGCCCAGTTAATACAAAGCCAACTACAGTAATAATAATAATAATAATAATAATAATAATAATGATGATGATGATGAT